CAAAAAAAACCACACCACAAACAAACAAACAAAACCACCAAAAAAACCCACAAAACCACCCACACAACAAAAACCACAAACAAACAAAAAAAACCCAAACAAAAAACCCCCTAAGATAAGCAGGCACAAAGAGAAGAGGCAGATAATATGTTTCTTACCTGCACACAGCTGTCCCAAACAGCAAAATAGTACTACAACCCAAGAGCTGCACATGCCTGAGCCCTCCAGAAACTTCCACAAAAGGAAAAAGACTGTTGGGATTGCAGCCCCTGCTGAAGATCTCCCACATCCACTACTTCCCCGCAGGCAGCCACAACTACTTGTCCCCACCAGGTGCCTGCAGCCAGAAACTGCCCACCTCCTCAGAACCTCCCTATATTCTCACTGCCCCTCCTGCTCCGGTGCTGCCAATCCTCCAGCTCTTACCTGCTCCAGGTGAGGAAGGTGTTGCAGCTTTCGTTTCTACCTGATAATGAGTAGCTCTGCAGTTCTCAGTGCTGTGGGTGTAAACAGGAGCCTTCTGCTTCTGGTTAACCCTAATGTGATTCAGGGCAACTGCATGAGGAGCAAACCACTGGAAACCTGAATGTGACCTGTTGGGCTGAATTGTTCAGCTGAGAATATTCCTGATGAGTAATTGCTGTTACAACTGGTCTGTTACATAAGAGCTTGAATTAAAAAAATTATTAATCATCCACTTAAAATAGGCTGAGAGGAAAAAAGAAAGTATCAGGGGGGTCTTACAGAATTAATGGGGCTAACGTGGTGTCACTGCAGCAACTCCAAATTTACATGGGTATCATCACCCAGGTTACATTCCCAAATCCATTTTCTTTCATGGATATAAGGGCCGTGGGCCCCAGAAATGTGTTTGAAATGTGTAATCAAATGGTTAGAATGCAATTTCCTCCCCATATGTGCCTCATTGCCTTTCGAATTCTGCACGTGGTCCTCAGTGTGTTTGGTTTGACTTTCCTCTCACACAACTTTTTAGGAAGAATATTGAATACAGGAGGTACCCTGGATTTGTGCTGCTGTGGAATAAGAAAGAGTTGTATTATTCCTTCTTACTGTACAACGTACTCTAAACCTGTGCTGGCAAAAGTACTCAGGTGTGTTAGATTAGGCCAGAAAAGATCTTACCCTTCTGTCTTTTATTCCCAGGAATCTGGTGTGTAACATTTACGCTGTGGTGTCAGTTGTACAAGCTTGGTGCTGCTCTGCTCAAGGGGTTTTATTCTTTAAGGCAGTACATAATGATG